ACACACACACACACACACATTTTCTCTTTTTCTATCTCTCCTTCCTCTTTACCCAGCCACTTGTTTTCACCATTTGAATTCTTTTTATAGCACAATACCCCAATATTTCATCTTCCCTTCTCCGTACACACCTCAGCATCCCCGCTCCACGTGCGTTTCGCCTGCAGCCTCACCTCACCTCTCAGCTCAGTGTGGGCTTCCCTGCTCGCCTTGTTATGCCTCTCTGGTTCCCGTGCCTTGCTTCAGGGCACGACGAGAGGAGAAACAAAGAGTCTAAACATCTTAGATTGTACACAGCCGGAGAAAAACGAAGACGGCGTTTTGATTTCCCCCGTGTTCGGCCAGACAGCCTTATTCTGCTTGTTTGGTCTGAGTGCAGGGTTTTTCACTTCCCTATACTAAACTAAAAAAAACACCCTTTTTTAGATTTATTTTTCAGTCATTCACATATGATTGTGATCTGATCTCTCAAAAGGAAAATTAGCAACAAGTGTGAATGTGGTATTGTTTTTCCAATGTATAGTTGATCAAAGACCCATCTAAAATATATTATTTAATCAAAACCTATTTGCTAAATCCTAAATTTTTTTAAATCATTCAGCTGGGGTCTATATAAAGTGGAACTGCAATGCTTTAGGCTGGATTCCTCCTTATTGTAACTCCACAAGCCCCTCTTTCACCCCTTTTCTGAGGTGTGTCTCAGATCAACTCATTTTGAGGCTGTCTCTTTAAAGCCTAATGAGGTGCTTCTTACCCCGCCCCCCTCCAGCTTCCAGATGAGTTCTTTCTGATCTGAAAAAAGTGGTTTACAACTATATAGCGACACAGAAACTTTTCTTTACGAAATAATTAAAATATGTCAACAAGGGAAGACTTGTCCATTCAGCCTCACATGTTTGAGCCAGAGACTGACCCAGAGCTAGAGGAGAATGAAGACGAGCAAATTGTAGTTGGAAAGTCCAGACATTATTTGGCAGTTCCATCACAAATACTCTGATGTAATAGTTGAGAAAACGTCATAGAAAATAGAAAAAAACTGAGCAGGTTGAAAGATGTGACCAAAAAAGAATATAAAATAAAAATATCTATGCAGCACTGGGAGAAACATTTTTTCTTCTGCACTCCTAGAGACTTCAAGTACACAACATAATGTATTTAATGGCTAAAAAATGGATCTTTGCAAAATATCTGCATTGTCCCTTTAACCCRTGTTAGTGTTTTACATTTGTTATTTAGCTGCAATGCAAGTTTATCTGTTGAAAAAAAAATGATTAAGTATTCATCCTGTTTTTCTGTTTGTTTCAGCGGGGTGGGTGGACAGCACGTGGGTTGGCCTCATCAGGATAGATGAGACAGAGGAGAGATGAGGAATGAAAAGCGGAGTGAGAGGCAGAAGAGGAGAAGTCTCGAGGTTAAAGTTTAGCTTATGTAACTGAATCCCACAGCTGGGGGTTGAATGTGCTGCAGTGACACTAATAAAAACTACAATGTGGGAGATGATTTGCCTTTTTTTTGTTTGTTTTTCTCCACTTTTGTTTTAATTCCTGCTTCCCTGTTTTCTCAGAGCTTTCATTTCAGTGTCTTGTTCCAGAAATAAAACACGGTCAAACTGGTGTAATTCTGCTGCAGAGAATAAACAAAGCACACATCGTTATCTGAATACAGTCTTTAATCTTATCTGATCTGAAGGCTATTTGCCCTGAAACTGATAAAGGATTTGAAAAAGAGGTTTGCTTTTATTATTTTCCTGTTTATTGACTCCTAAAACCACTGTCAAACCAAAGAATTGTGTTTTTTAAGTATGGAGGGCAGCAAGCCACCCAAATAAGAATCTGAGCTTTTATRTTGACAGGCTGAAGGGAAACTGTGCTGATCTGGCTTATTTCRTGTAAAAACCAAAGATTTAATCTGGCAAACTAAAGCTATACGCCTATTTACTCTCAAGCAGAAATTCTTGTACTTTCATACCCTCACACTGCAACGGTATATTTTGGRAATGTTGGTCTATTCTAAGCAGCTCAGGGCTGGTATTAACGAAAATTAGGTCGAGTTGGCAGGCATCACTTAATTGAGTCTTAAGCTGTAAATCAGACTCCACAGATTTTTTTCTTCATTTAATCYTTTGTCATTTTACCAACATTGTGTAACTGCGAGGACACACTTCTTTGTCTGCAGGGAGAAAAGGAGGGTTTTCCCGAAAACTGCTTTCCTGCACATGTCTGTGCATGCCTGTTTGGTTTCGGGTGGGCAATGACGATCAGAGTAGAACACAAAGAACCCCCCCACGACCACCACCCTCCCTTCTTCACACAATGAAATACCTCCATTTTTTTCTACGCTGATCAGTTTGTGTATTTCAGTGTTTACCTGTTTGTCTACTTGCTGCACTCATTTTCCTAAAGAACCACATTTTGTTTAATTCTGCTGACGTTTATCACAGTAACAGCCCACACGTTTTCTTTCATAAGTTGTCTCATCTTTTTTTCTCCCTTTTCTGTTTGACTCATTGAGTCGCTGAGGACATGTGAGAACCCGGCTGACAGTCCTCTCTCCTCCTTGTTGGTTTTCACAGGACAAACCAACATCAATCTTTATGCGGCTTCTGATAATGGGGTTGGTTGAAGAYCACGTTACACTGATGTGGGGAAAATGGTGATGCTGCTGCTTAATCACAGGTAACTGCTTATAACTTTGCTTGCTTCCAAAATAGAAAGTTCTCATTAGTCAGCTTGCTTTGTAAAATTTTCCAGCTCAGTACAAGTAAAATAAAGGATTTTTAATCAGCCCACTCTGAGAGGCTGATGGTGTGGGTTTGGAGATGTGTGATTCACAGAAGACAAACTGATCTGACAGCAGTTTACTCAGCACTGCTAAAATAACACAAGTGAATCTGTACCTCTGCAATCAACAAAACGCACTTGCTTCGATTGTTTTTAGTTTTAAAATTAACACTCTCCTCTCCGCTCCACAGTTAAATCATGGGGAACGTGGAGAGTCAGAATGGCGACAGTAATTTTTATGGCGATGGAGCAGGACGTCTCTCCCGCAAGCACACATCCCGCTCCCTCCACCTCCCCAACAAGCAGCTGGTCACCCGTCGCCAGAAGCACGCCTCGGCGGGGAAACCGAAACACAGGAACTCGGAAACCTCCACCCGCTCCTCCAGCACGCCGAGCATCCCGCAGTCCTTGGCGGAGAGCGGACTGGAGTTGTACAATGCAGGAGACGAGCTGGGAGACTTCCGCCTCAACCCCCACTGGACACAACGCGTCGCGATGACGATAAGGCCGGACTCCTACCAGCACGAGGATGAACCTTTGGCCACACCGACCCCTGAAACCTCAGAGGCCGACACCATTGCTCAGGATGGAGGCGAGGACTCRATGGGGGAGGAAGATGGCATAGAGGAGGGAAAATACCTTCAGCAAATGACAGAAGACCCTCGGGATGGAGGRAACTTTAAAAAGAAGAGGTCAAAGTCGGCAGATATGTGGAGAGAAGATAGTGTGGAGTTTTCTCTGTACGACCTGAGCCAGGGCAAACTGACCAGCACCGAAGACATGATTGATGGAGGAGAGGAAGAAGAGGAGGAGGAGGAGCAATTAGCATGTCCCAGAGGCAGCACAGGTGAGGATGTACACGAGCGTTTTAGATCAACACACATCATTGCAACCTATTTTTCTTACGTACTTAATCAAAATCGTGTCAGTAGCTACGTTTCCATTGACCATGAAAATGTGCAAATTAGAATTTCGAAAATAAATTTGCTCCATGGAGACACGTCAGTTCAAAGAAGAATTATGTTTTTCGACAAAATGTTTTTTTGCGCTAGGAAGAGGTGGTTTTCGGTCATGTTGAAATTGATGTTTTTCGCAAAACTGCAATGGAAACAGTTTTTTCGCATCACGGGAGTCACGTGATCCAGAACCAGCTGTTTCTATTGGCGAAAAGACGACGAAGAAGAAAACAGGAAGTAAAAAATAGTAGTAAAAGCTCTGAAGTAGTAAAAGAAAGTAATAAACTCACTGACTACATTTTCCCAAAAAAGTAGCATACGTACTCCCATGTATAAGAGGCTTGTCACTTGAAAGTCTCGATAATACGCCGACGTCTCCTCTGATGGCTGATGATGAGCACTAGTGTTGTGTTTACATCCATTGCCGCCATGTTTGTAATGAATTATCGCGAGAAMAAACGTATTCACGCGTGACTTTAAAAGTGTTTCTTACTTAATGCAAACACTGCAAKTGCGAAACTGTGTTTTTTCGAYATTAACAGAATATCWACAAAGTTTTGCGCACATTTGCAATGGAAACACAGCTAGTGTCATCATCTGGGCAAATTACACCTCCGTTACACCAAATTACAGCCCCAGAGTAGCATCGTCTGGATTTCAGTTTTTGTGAAAAGTGTTAACAAATACRTACATGTAGACAGGAAGCTGTTGATTTAATTTACTGTACGGGTAATGAGAAAAACGGGATGGGGAAATAACAACCATTCACCTAGTGGGAAGAAATAGTTTGAGAAAATAAGCTGATTGAAAATCTGTTGCTGCCCACCACTCGGAGCAGTTAGGTTGATCACGGGTTTGTTCGTTTATGTGGCGTGACAGTAGGCTGAGACCGCTAACTTAACCGATAAAGGTTTGAGTGCTCTTAAAAGAAGACGTCACAGAAATGAATGGGCTTACTTAAAGCGCACACATAGATACTCACAGAAACCACAAGGAGATATGGCAAAGGAGCCTGGAAGGAAGTAGAAATCTCTTAAAACCCCACACCACAGTAATCACCTGTTTATGTTCCAGGCTCAGCTGAAAGGGCTTCGTCTCTGGACCATCTGTGCAGCCAGAAGAGTCCTGGCCTGCAGGGCCAGAGGAGCCGCCACGTTAAAAACCGCAGGGAAGCCGAGTGCGTCGGACAGGGAGACGGGGTGAGCGAGTTGTTGTCTCCGAGCGAGGAGGACGGTGGAGGGTATGCTGCATTCACGCTCCCGTGCCGTCGCTCTCACTGCCTTTCCGAGGGGCTGTTGGGGCTGGGGTCCCCTGCTGCTCCGTGCCCAGCCTTCCAGGGAAGACGTGCACAAACTACCCAGGTATTACTGAATGGGTATTTTAATATATGATTTGTCTGCTGCTTTCTTTGTTTCTTTGTTTTTTTTTATTGAAACACAGAATTGTACAGAACTGTAAGAGTTCAAACCTTACAAAGGACACCAGTTATTCCACTAATGACACTATCTTTTTGACAACCATTTCCGGTTTTGCACTCTAGATATGCATCCATCTGTGCCTTTTGCTCACACCACTATACAACAAAGACATTTTCTGTCTCATTTAGAAGCTTTTCTCATCCTCACTAAAGCTGATTAGGTCATGGAGTGAGAAAGGATGTGATTGCTGGTGTAATCTAGCTCGCATAAAGTCACTTATTGTGTTTTCTGTCATGTTCACGCGTCATTGACTTATAAATGACCAAATAAGAGGGTAGAAGTCCTGACAGAGAGGCTTTTTGTTCAGCTCTTTTCTGAAACCGGAAAGTTGCCTTGCAGAGCAGATCACCCAAAGTGCTTCTTATAGATTCATATAGCCAGGCAAAGGGGGGCTGCTGGATATAAATAAACCTAAAACATGTAAAAACAAAGAGAATATGACAGATACATTGTTGCAAGATAAAGAAATTTTTACTAATGTGATTTTTTTATTAGAAATGTGTGGAAACAGATGTAATCAGGCTTTTTGCAGCTTGTGCTCCAATTTAGTATTTGTTCACATTTCCTCATATTGTAGTTCTTATGCAAGTCATCAGTTTCTACCTTGTATCTCTGTCTGACAGGACATCTCAGGTGTCCTGGGAGATGGAAGTGAATATAGCGACAGCGGAATCGATGGCATTGTCACAGAGATGGATGCGGACGGAGACCTGGTCTCCCGGAGGTGTAAAGCCATGTCGGCCTCTTTCTCGGTCTACTCCGCTATCGAGAGTGGCGTTTTCAATGGGAGTGACAGCGGGAACAGCAGCGCCGGGGGAGGCGAAGGAAGAGCCGGCGAAGGAGGCAGGGGAGGGGTGTATGAGAACTTCCGAAAGGAACTGGACAGCCCACTTTGGGTTAGTAGGCTTTGCTTTTATATGTGCCCTTTTTTTGTTGTTGTTTTTGCTAGGTTTAAAGTATTTATTTCTTTACGACTTCCTTGGCAGACAAATCAGGGCCGAGACTGCATGGAGGAGGCCAGCTCTGCTGTCAGCGATGAGCAGAGCAGCGGCACGCTCAGCAGCGCCTACCCGTCTGAGTCTGTGATTGGCTACGCCCAAGGCACAGTCAGGAAAGCTGGGGCTTTGGCGGTGAAGAACTTCTTGGTTCATAAGAAGAACAAGAAGGTGGAACTTGCAACTAAGAGAAAGTGGAAACAGTACTGGGTGTCTCTGAAAGGTGCTCCACACATTCTCGTTTTAAATTCGCAATTTATTTGTTTGCGTCCCATTTTGTTGTAAATAAAGTATCCCTAACTGTGGACACTTCTTATATGATGGGCAACATTCGGCATCGTAACAAGTCACACGACCTCTTAAACGAACATAGAAACCAAACTTTTGTAACTAAACCATCAGCCAACTTTTTTTTAGCTCAAACACTGTGCAAACATTTACAGGAACAACTCCATCATTGGTCCTCGTGGCTTTTTTGTTTTTGCCTGCTGTGGTGTAGCATCCACAAAACTCAAATGAGGTAATAAATTTGCAACAGTTTTGACTGCGAAAGAAGCGTCGTCTCTAGTGTGCCAAAATCACACAAGTCATGCATATATAACCAAGGATCTGTGAAACCAAAACATCAACAACAGTTGGGAGGATGTTAGATATGTTGCTGCCTGCTACTGTATGTTTGAGGGAGCTGCAATGAGCTGGTCTTTGTTTTGTTTCTTAAAGGTTACTCATTTTTTTTAAACATTTTTATTGGATCTTTTGAAAAGGCTTATCTAATCCCCCACAAAGCACGCCCCTAAAAAAGTTCCTAGGGCCAGTAAATGTATAGAAATTGAGTTTATGTTTGCAAAAACTCCTGCAGCCATATAAAAGCCCTCCATCTGACCCCAGCTGGTCGAATTTTCTACATTCTCTCTCCTTTTAGACTGTAATCACATCAGACTAACCTCAGCTCATAYCCTTGGCTGTCACCCTCTCTGTTTTTGTTCTCACTCCTCTCTGTGGCTGTGCATTACCTCGGCTCAACCTCATCACAATTTAATTTTACGCCAGCGTCCGTGTCTAATCCAATCTGGGCCTTTTAAAATGCACAAGATACAGCATTTGCGGCTGCATTGGATTCACTGTTGGTATCCATCTCCTGAAAATAGACAAATCTGTCTGGTCTTTCTGACCTCAGGGTCAAATTTGAATGGATAAACACGATTATGCTGTTCAGATCCAAATTACAGCCTAAACATAAGGTAACTTTAATAAAGACTTAATAATTACTAGTTTATTTAAYTTGCTTTTCTGCATTTCTTCAAGGCTGCACACTTTTCCTGTATGAATCAGATGGTCGCTCAGGCATCGACCACAACAGTGTTCATAAACATGCACTGTGGGTGGAGAACAGCATCGTCCAGGCCGTGCCTGAGCATCCCAAGAAAGACTTTGTGTTCTGCCTCAGCAACTCGGTGGGAGACGCTTTTCTTTTCCAGGTGAGGAAAATGCTGTTTGAAAGAATCCCTCTTCTGTGATCAGTTTAATATTTCTAACAGCATGACAGCATTAAAAACCAGGCCAGACGCAGACGGATGGACGCAAGGTATAAGATTTCATCTGGGGATTTGGTGTGCGTTAGTGCGGCACATGACCTTTGGCTGGGTGTGACAGATACGACAGCCCCATGTCCATGTGTTTGTTTTATGTTTGACATGTTTAAAGGCCACACTGTCACACTGTGACACTGATCCGCAGCAATAACTATTGTGTGTATTGAAATGCATCAATTTATATTCATGACAGCTCTCCACAAAGACATTTRGTCTAAGAATAGGGAGATAATTAACAACATCACGATGAGATTAAAGTGACAACCTTTTCTGTTAAGCTAATATTAGAACTCTGACTTTAATTCTAGCTGTCACTTAGTTATCCCTCCCTCTATTGTTTCCTGTTTTGCTGAAAGTTTCCCCATCTTTTGTTCCCCTCCAGACATCAGGCCAAACGGAACTGGAGAACTGGATCACGGCGATCCACTCGGCRTGCGCCACCGCCCTCGCTCGACAGCACCACAGGGACGACACCGTKCGGCTGCTGCGAACGGAGATCCGCAAGCTGGAGCAGAAAATCGACATGGAYGAGAAAATGAAGAAAATGGGAGACATGCAGCTGTCCACGGTCACTGATGCCAAGAAGCGGAAGACCATCCTTGAGCAGGTGTGTGACTGTGATAACATCTAATACAAACTGGTCCAAAAAGCTGTAAACATGAAGCATGATAAAGAAATAACTCCACAACTTCAGAAAGCCTTTTTTTGTATCGTGGAAAATTTGTAAAGCCTAACATCTAAATGAACAAAGCTTGTGATCTCATTATGAAAACACCTGAAGGGCTTTAAATATGCACATTTTTGTGTGTTTGAAGTGCGCTGATGTTCTCATGCAGTCAAACTGTGTTGTTAAATTATCTGAACTGGATAGCGTCACTTAGACAAAGTGTTCTGAAGGAACACATTCAGCCACAGGTGTTTTATAATTCCCAAATGGTTACCATTTTTTTAAAGAACATTTGAATATTCATAACACATGCTGAAACTCATACAAMGCGTTCATTAACTCTTTGATGTTTAATAGCTGTTTGCACAAGTCCAAGAGGGATGTTTAAAACCTGGATTAAATTTTTTTTTTGGACTTTAAGTAAAATAGTCACTCTTATTCCCTTCATGTCTGGAGTTGGTGCTGAAATTGATACATACAGTGCTGAAAATCAGCTAAATTAAYGCAGAAAATGGCATTTTTTCTGTTGTCAGCAATACATAATATGGTCAGAAATGTAGCAAGTACATACTGTGAATTTACTTTGTAAGTACTAGGTATACAYTCTAAGTACAGGATGTCAGTACATATTACAGCTGAGTCACTGTAGGTATCATGTAGATGTCAAGTAAGTACCTGGTGCAGACCTGAAATTTCCCTGGTATGTACCTGAGATGTTCCTGGTAGTACCTGGCACAGATCAAAYCCATACCTTGTACATGTCAGCTACCCCGGTACATACCAGGTACCATTTTTCCATGGGGACAGTTATAAAGTGACTGGTTACCCTGCACTTACCTAGTAGGTACCAGGTAATTACCAGAAATACAAACTAAATGTGTATTCTCTTTTTACACAGATCCGAAAAACAATAATAATACTTTGAACAAGTCTTTTATTATAGCTTGATTTCTTTTAAAATCTATTCGCAGAGCCACATAACTTACAAAAAGATGATCACAACCTGAGATCCGATCTATTTAAAATGCCTCACAAAAAAGTCAGTTAGAATAATTTGTTTGAAGCCCAGGAACAAACAAGTTAGGGCAGAAACAAATGCAAATGAAGTCTAGTTCATGTGTGTCTCTTTTAGTTCTGCAAAGCTGGCTTTATTCCTGAAAGCTCAAGTCTGCGAGGGACGAGACTGGATCTGTTGGTGATTCGTAAATAGTCAGAGGCAGCATAAAGACTGATTGGTCTTTACGGCAGTTTTGCCAAAATGTTTTGTGAACATGCCTTGTATTTCACCTCCCACTGCCCACTCTCTGATGAATTGCACATAACACAGCAGGTCAGCCACTGGTGGGGGTTGTGTTGGTGAGTAATACCTCTCCACAGGGGCTTCTGCACTCCCACACCACTCTCCTCCCACGATGACCAAACAGCAATATAACACCAAGTGAACCTTTGTGCCTGTTCAAGCTTTTCTTTCTTTGTTGTTTTGATTTTTTAAATCAATTAATTATTATTATTATTATTATTATTATGCAATTCAGATGAATCAGGATTGTAGCAGTAACGTTTTTGCATATTGTATAATCACCATTGCCTTCACTTTTTGTTATTATTTGTCAGATCTTCTTGTGGGAGCAGAACTTGGAGCGGTTCCACATAGACCTCTTCCGCTGCCGCTGTTATCTGGCCAGTCTACAGGGCGGCGAACCCCCCAATCCCAAACGCCTCCTGGGTTTCGCTTCACGTCCCACCAAAGTGGCCATGGGTCGCCTTGGCATCTTCTCAGTGTCTTCCTTCCACGCACTGGTACGGTTTAAAGATCCCGTTTTGGATTTCTGCACAAGTRTCACAAACCAAGCCTCACCACACCTTCCTAGGCGTTCCTTCAAGAAGCTGTACAGCAATTGTAGTCTTAGAGTAAAATCAGAGTTCCTTAATCTGTATCTTAAACATTCTTCACGTGCCTCTGCATGTTCCAGTAGGGATTCTGTGAAAGTTCTCAACGGCTGACCCTCGAAAACAGCGCAGCTTGGAGAGTGGGTGTGTTTATGTGGCTGTGAAAGTCTTGTCACAAACGCCTACTGAAAGCAAAGGATTTCTGCTTGCGTGACAAATGTTCAAATGGATCTACCCTAAACCTTGGACACACAATAAGTGAATAAGCCATACTGCTGATATAATCAGTGCTCATAAAGCAACAAATAAGCCACCTTCTTTAGCTGCAAAATTTTTATTGTTTTGTTTTTGTTGTTTATTATTGGCAGAGAAAAAAATCCTGTTCAAACCTAATGGGTTTGACTCAAAGAATGTTGACTTTTAGTTTCAGTATAACTTGAACTTACACATTTGTGTGAACCATATGAAAAACGGCTTTGAAGTTTTACATTTTTTTATACACTGAGATGTTAAAAGTGAATGCTCACATCACCAGGAAGCACGAGAAACAAAAATACAAACAAAAAATTCCTTCAGCTTATTCTTTTGCGTGCTGTTGACAACGTTAGCTTGTGGCTCATAGCCAAGTCGCTAGCTCTGGGTTTGACACCGACTGTGATAAGTGAAATCTGAAGCATGCTGGGAATGCATAAACTGAAACATAAACATAAAAGGAATGATCAAACTGACAAACCACTCCATCAAAGCCACCTACCATTTTATCAAAATGCCATCTGTCGAACAGTGAGATTATATTTCAATAATGCAGTGGTTACCGCATACCAAAAATAGTACAACAACTTGTGGTTGTGAGCAACAAAGGGGTTATTTCAAACATTTGGACTTGGCAGAATTGATCAAGTGCAGGTGTGGTTTTAGGGCAAGCCACTTCCGCAAATTAGTCCTTTCAGAAAACATGTGCAAAGTCAAAACTTCCTCCAAATGGAATACAATCTTTGGTAATACATTGGTCTTGTTCTACCTTTTAAAGTCAAAATGACAACTGGGAAATAAGCCCATTGAAAGCCAGTGTGGTCAGTGTACTGATGCTCTACTTCTATCTCTAAAGGGCCTGTAGGGGTTAGACAGGAGCCCTGGAACAATGAATCACACAGCTTATGAATCAAAATTAATATATATTTTTTTGGGGGGCAGATGACTGTGTTTGCACCTTTGAACTACGGTAATTCAGAGTTGACTGAAAAATGAGCAATGTGCTATCATCAGTTTTTAACCAGTATTTGTAGCAGGTAAGTCAATTTGCCTACTACAGACACCCATCAAAACATTGCCATAATCAACATTTTGTCACAACTCTGTTCCACAAAGGGTAGTGAAGTATTTTTTTAGCATGATCATTTACTTCTTCACTCTACCAAACTTGAATCACTTAATGAACATGGTAAAGATGCAAAAATCCCCTTAGCTCAGTCCAACCAATCATCTGCAAAATGTTTTGAAAAAACAAAAGCGATCAAAGTACCGTATTYATTCAAGTATAATATGTAAAATTTAATCCATAAAATCATCCATAAAGTTGGGGGTAGTATTATACTCGGATAAATATTTTTACTTATGTATTTTAACTAAAATATCGGCTTCATTTACAAAATGCCTGAGTCTGGAAATGAAACCACAATGTAAAAAGCAGTTGAAGCGAGCTTACATCCGACACTCCTTCGTGCTTCAGAGCGAGAAAATAACAGATCCAAGCAGGTGACATGATGTGAAAAAAGGGGGAAAATATTCCTGCACCTCAGTAAAGATAACAAACTAATGACATTAGCGTGTGACCGGGCCGCTCCTTGAACAACAACAAACACATGTTTGTCTGTAATGGCTGCCGTCTACCAGTGTTCTGACAAAGTTTTTATCCCTGAAAAAAGTTTCCCCACCAGAGGGAGCGCTCACGAGTAGGAAGTAATCTGCTTTTGCCCCAGAAAATGGTCCAAATCTCATGACTCTCTCTCTGACTTTTGTGTTGGCGCCTCCTGGTGGACTATGTGTAAAATGCCAGAATTCATGTGATGCTGCTACAGCTGATATATATTTGTTGTCAAAATACCTTTTAGTACATATGTTGTTAAAATAAAATGAACAGTCCAATGATCATTTTACTGATATGTATAAAGACTGCAAAGGCTGAAAAATCTTTAAAGTTTGTATGAAATTGGAGGTAGTTTGAGGATTAAATTTTTCATGCTTTTTAAGCTCAAAAAGGTGGGGTCGTATTATACATAAGATTGTATTATACACAAATAAATACGTAGGTCCACCCTGTAACTAGAGTTTAGATGATGTCTAAAACATCCAGCCCACCTGGCCTGAACCCATAGACATTTTGTCAGAGTCTGATCCAACCTGACTAATTAATTACAGGCACAAGCCCGAAGCAAACTCGACATGATTGCTTTTAATTAAGCTTTAAGTACTTTCGTTTTTAGACCACCATTTGAGTTTTTTAAGTAAATCAAATAGGAACAGCTGCTCGTCTGGTCCCATTGAGCATGTGGAACGTGCAACGGACAGCCACATCTTCTTTTCATCTCAGTGCTGCAGTTAATAAAAAAATAAAAAAAGGTTTTGTCTCGTTTAGTGACATAAAAAAAACCCTGCTGTTGTTCATATGTTTATCTACATATGAAATATGGGAGAACAGAGGGAGAAATTACGATCATTTCTCCCCATGACACAATGTTTCCGATGATTTTTAGGGTTACATTTTTTGCATTATCACAGATAAATACGGTAGATCAACACAACTTTAGATCATGCATTCTCATTTAGTTTTCTCTGTGCTGTCTGTATTTTAGGCTTATAAAAACCCAGAAGCCCGAGACTGAACAGACCCAACCATCAACCATAATCATTTTTTCTCAACTCGGCCCGAATTTCATGTCAAGTTTGGGTTATAAATTTAAACTTGACTTGTGACTAACATCTTGGTGCTTGAATGATGCTTTATAATCTGTGATGGCAGCACAAACACCTTTGTTTAAATGTTATTATTGAATATTGTTTATGCTGTTGTGTGTCATGTACGCTCTGCAAAACGCCAACCAGGAAACTGAAAGTAAAGTAAAGAGTAAGCTGTGTGAAAGGCTTTTTTGTGGTTTAGTTTTATAACAACAGGATTTTGGCCATGAGAAACATATGAACTGTTTATTCCACTCCACCCCCCCCTCCCAGCAGTGTATTTTTGTGATTGTGGATCAATATAAACTCTTTTAGGAAGCATCCCTGAGGCAGTTTCCCACAAACAGGCTTAACACTCTCTGCCCCTTGTCTCCCCTTTGCTTTTGCTGCCTACACTTTCACTTCCTTTGTCTGGGTCGCTCTTCTCTAGTTTCGCACCTTTTCCTATTATTTGCACATGTATTTCGTCTTTTTATACACAACATTTTCTTTTCTGCTGTCCAACAACTTATCATATAATGATGGGATAAATTAGTGCAGAAAAACAGTTAATAAAAATGAAAAACAATTTGTTGTGGCAGAAATAAAAATGTTTTTTTTTCTATTTTTTAACTGTTTTCACCCTGTCACAATCTATCTATCTATCCATTCACCCTGTCACAATCTATCTATCTATCCATCCATCTATCTATCTATC